TGCTAGTCCTGGAGGGTCACATGTTCAAGAGCTTTGTGGGGTAGGCTTAGGGTTGAGAGGCCAAGTTAATTTTGCAAGATTTGTTGGAAAGGATACTGACTATTTGGGTTATAAAAATGGCTCATTTATTTAGTCGTGTCACATATTTATTGAACATATGCTATGGTCTGGGCACTGTCTATAGAAAACAAAACAAATACATTATCTACTTTATGGCACTTATTTTCTAGCAGTAAGTCAGAAGTTAAATAACTCATTATATTCTCACCAGCAGTAACAAGATGTTATGAGGTAGAAGAACTAGAGGACTTTGACTGAAGCTGTGAAATCAGGGGTGGTCTCTCTGAGGGTGGCTGAGATATGAATGAGAAACAAGAATTAGTGAGGTCGGGGTAAGTAGGAAAGGTATTTCAGACTGAAAGCACATGGAAGACCAAGTTGGGGTAAAGCTAGTTCCTTTGAAGAACTGGAGAAAGTTGGTATAGCCTTAGAACAGATATTCAGAGTGAGAAGAGGTGTTTTTGTTTTTTGTTTTTCGGTCGGTCGTGGGGTTTGAACTCTGGGCTTGGGTGCTGTCCCTACGCTCTTCAGCTCAAGGTGAGCGCTCTACCAACTGAGCCACAGCACCACTTCCGGTTTTCTAGTGGTTTATTGGAGATAAGAGTCTCACAGACTTTCCTGCGTGGGTTGGCTTTAAACCACGATCCTCAGATCTCAGCCTCCTGAGTAGCTAGGATTACAGGCGTGAGCCACCGGCGCCTGGCGGTTTTTTGAACTCCATTGTGATTGAAAGTCACTAAAAATTTGAATCAGGGAAGCTATAACATGGATGTTTTTACTCCACCACTCTTCCTGCTGCAGGAAAACAGACTGGAGAGAGGACAAGAACAGAAGTGGCATGTTCAGTGAAAAAGCTCATGCAGGAACTAACTAGTTGATGGTAGCTAATAGTGACATGTCTTAAAGAATGCATCAGTGACAATAAAGAGTGGTGGCTGAGTTACAAGTGTATGTTACAGAGAAGGAATCAGATGGTTTGGTGATGGATTGGGTATGTGGGGAATATCTGGGGTGACAGGCAGATGCTTTGAGTAACTCACAGAATGGGATTGTTATTTATTAAGATGGGGAAGGATGGGGGAGGTGCAGCATTTGGGTGGGACCTACATCTTAAAATTTCCATTTGGTTGTTGCACCTCTAACAATCAAATGGAAATTTTACATTGGCACACATATGTGGACTAGAAATGGCTGCATACTGCAGAGAGCATCTCTTGCCATTGGAATGGGAAAAAATTATCCAGAGACAGGATAAGAGGAGAAGAGAAACATTCTGACATATTAGATTTTAAAGGAAGATAAAGAACACCTAGAAAAATAGCATAGAAGCTAAAAGATGGGTTATTCAAATGATCATCTGAGATAGTTTGTATACCACCTGCTGTCAGCGGACCCTGAAGATTCCCTTCTAGCAGTAGCAGACAATGCAAAGAGGTCTTTTACCTACTACAGGTTTCCCCAGACCTCAGCTTCACCTCATTCAGCCCTGACAAGAGGGCCCCATTCCTTGTCCAAACACCACACAGGAAACTTCTCAGGTGCTGTCTTTCAGCATTCAGAAGTGCTCAACATAAAAGTCTTCTGCCTCTAGTGGGAAGTTCCTGCTATTCAGGAAATATGAAGAAGGCACACAGAGCCTCTTGGTACTCTGTCTGGTCAAGATCATCTGACTTTCTCTTTTCCAGGTTATTATGTTAGGCCATCTTCAACAACACGCTTTACCCTTCAAACTTCACCCATTGTTCTCCTTAAACATTCCACAGCAGCCTGTGCATGTCTCCTAATATACCTTGTATTTTCCTAACACTTCTGTTTTTCTCCATTGAACTTAATCCCTCTTTATTGCCTAGCTGGTTTTCTCTATCCCTTGGGGTCCAGCTTGAGTCTTTTCCTTTCTACAAAACCCTGGATGGTCCCCCTCCTCTCTTAGGCATTTCTCCTACATTATTGGAGAGTGCTGTTTCTCTCTCTCTCTCCCTCTCTCTTTCTCTCACACACACAGAAAGAGAGAGAGAGAGAGAGGAGAGAATGAGAGAGGAGGAGAAAATGAGCACAGTGAGGCTACCTGCATATTTCATTGTTTCCTTTGCAGTGCTTGGGCACCAGAGGCATTTGGTAAACATTTGTTTATTGCAGGCTGACTGAGAAAAAACAGAGGCCCTTCTTCCCCAAAGGATGAAGTCTTATAGAAGTCTGTTTGATGGCTGTATTAACAGGATCCACCAGGCCCAAATAAATAAATAAGTGCTACAAGTATTCACCAGCCTGGCTTCTAGAGTCCTTTGAGGAAATGCCAAGTCACTGGAGCTCCAGTTCAAATGAAGCCCTCATGCCATCAGCTATTTCAGATCTTCTTGGAAATATGCAACATTTAAACCACAAAAACCTCATGTTTTCTTTTAACACTGTAAATAGAGGTTTCTTGCCTTTTTAAGCTGTGGATTTCCTCTGGCATAATGCTTTTAAAAAAGGTTGAAAAGTCACCTTTCTAACCCAACCTCCTTCATCCCATCATACTTCACATAACAGAAGCTTGACCAGGAGTGAAAATTCAGCCTGCAGTGTTTTTTTCCACTCAAGTACTGGCTAAAGTGGACATGACTAACAGACTGCAGTGACTTTCATGCAGGAGGACTACCCATGAAAAAGTTTATGTTGGCAAAGTTTTCAGAGGGTAAACATTTTGTGGAAATTGGTTCAATAAAATCTGGCTTCCAAAGTGGCCTTAAACACACAGCAATTATTATAACCATGAAGAGACAGGTAGATTTTGGACATAGATCTATAATAATACATTTTATGATTTCCTAGGGCCTATTTTTGCTCTCCTGCACTAAAAGCACAAATACCCAACATCTTGAAATATCAAGAGTAGCAGTTAAAAAGAAATAAAAACTCTCTTTCCAAATCCCCAATGCAAGAAATCAGTGAGAGGTCAGGGAGTAGGGGATTTATGGGATTGAAACTTCCAATACCGGTATATCCTCCTCTTCCAGATTCAAGAAGTCCTACTCTTCATGACTGTTTCTATCTTCACTTGACTTCTCCTGAAGCACAAAGTATTTTATAGTTCATGAAAAGGATAGTTCAAGAGATCTGAAGCCACACAGAGCCTCACTTGCAGTCTTTTGAAAATGAGGCTGCTTCTGGTCAGTCCTTCCTGGCTTCTCTACCTTGGGCTCCTGGCTGCCAGGGAAAGTGGTTACTCTCCCCCAGCATGGTTACCCACTACCACCAAGGGGATGAGATTGATGCAGGTTCCTGCCCTGTCTGTGGCTTTCTCTGACTGTGCTGGAAATAATGAGTTTCAAGAAACAGAAACAAAAACAAGCGGTTTCCAGACACATGTGTTAAGATAGATGCATTCTTTTGAGGGTGTGTCTTTTTAAATTGCATGATTCACCCCAAACAGTTATGCACCCCATTTCTCACAACGAATTGTCTTCCAGAAAGACAAGAACACAATGTGCAAAGACATACTGCAAACTGAGATCCACAGTTCTTCACTAGGAATGAGCTTTCCCCATCACTGAGCTTTCATGCTTAAAGAGAAAAGTGCAAACTCTAGAGAAAACGAAACGATCTGTCAAAATTTCTTTTAGCGCCTATGACTAGTGTTAACTTACATGCTCTCAGAGTGCAAAGAAAAAGCCTGCAAATTGCTGCTAAAGATGGTTTGACCTTTTAAAACGAGAACTCCCCCACCCAATATCCATATTAAATAGGTAAAAACTGGGAGCTCTAGAGTTTTAGATGAAGGAATGAAATGAGGTTGTGTTTCCAGAAAAAGCGTTTCCCTATAGGCTAGAGGCTAATTAGGATGTTGTAGACCTACATTGTCACACCAAGTCGAATCCAGGCCCCAAAGCTTCCGGATATCTTAGTTGTTAGCTGCTCTGAGTCTAGTTTTTAAAGAAAAGCGAGGAGTTATAAACATTTAGTAAATAAAAAAGCCTTGGACCTGACCGAAGCTTGCTGTTCCCGGGCAGGCTGTCGGCCCCTGGCGGCGGCGGAGCCACAGCGATCCCAGATCTCCACCTCAGCCGCCAAACGAGCGCGCACCAACCAGCGCTGCTGAAAGAAGTTGGAGAGCTCCCAGCCCGACGCCAGGATTCGGCGGTGGGCGCTGGGGAATCCCTTCCAGCAGTTAGGAAAGTTTTGAAAAGTAAAGACCCTACAAGTCAGATTAAGAGACTCCTCGTTTTCTTAAGCGTAAGAAACACCCCGTGCCACACCAGCCCTCTGCAACCACAGGGCCACCAGCCCCCCGCTTGGCCAGGACGCGCCCAGTGCTTTCCAGCTTTCCACCGCCCCAGAACTCAGGCACCGGGCGCGCGGAGCCAGAGGTGGCTCTGCAGCAACTACTGGTCCAGAAGGAAATGCCTCGGCCTCCCGAGCCCGGGGCACAAAGGCTCAGATTCCACAGTCGGAAAGGGGTCAAGGCAGCTCCACTAACTCCTTGCTTGGCCACCTCGGACCTTCTCTTCTAAGCCGGCTTGGTTTTCTCCAAAGGACGCGCGCGGCACAGCCCATGCGCCCCCGGGACTCCATCCATTCTCTCTCTACCGTTTCCTCCAAACTCTTCCCACAAACCCCACAAACACAGACGCCCAGCAACTCCAAAGCCACTTGCCAGCACCCCCTCACACATCCCTGTGCCCTTTACCCCTCACACCCTCCGTGCCCGCCCCGCACGGTTCTCCTCGCGTTTCTGGGGAGTCAGAAGCAAACCACGAGAAAATGCCTTCGCGAGGAGCCTCCCGTCACCCGCCCTGTCACTGAAACAAAAGCGCAGGGAGGAGGGAGGTGGGTGGGGAGGCGGGAGGAAGGATTGGAAAGAAGCTAAGGGCAGCGGCAAGAAGGGGCTGGGGAGGGGGTCGGGTGGAGTGTAGAGCCGGGGGCCAGGACCCCGCTCTGGCGCCGCGCGCCGGGTCGCTTACATGCCCAGGTCGCTGTAGGTGTTGAAGAACTCCATCTGGTTGCACGCCTGGATCCAGCCCACCACCCAGGTCTCGTGGCGGGGGATGGGGGGCATGACCACGCGGGCAGAGGCTTTGAAGTAGGGGGTCTTGTAGCGCAGGACGATGGGCGAGGTCTCCTCGATGCGCGTGGGGCACTGGTCGATGGTGGCGCACACATCGTACACCACGATATTCTCGCGCCGGATCCGCGCCTTGCAGGTGATGCTTTGGATACAGCCCATCCTGCTCCCCGGCGCCGGCGCGGCGCGGCGTGGGGCAGCGCGGGGGCCCGCGCGGGCAGCCGGGGGGCGCCCGTCACGCTGGCATGGCGACGCGCTGCTCGCTCCCGGTCCGCCTCAGCTCGCGCTTAGGAGTGAGGAGCGGCCGCCGCCGCCGCCGGGCATCCTCCAGGGAAGACCCCTCCTCTTGTAGCCGCGCCGGGTCGTGGCTGCCCCGCCACCCGCCCACGCCCGCCCCCTCGCTCCGGCAGGGCGCGCGGAGGAGCGTGCGCTCCTAGGAGGCAGCGGGTGCCCTCGCCGGCTCCGGCGCCCGGGCTGAGGGCAGGGAGGGGAGCGGCGCTGCCAGGAGCGGTGCCCAGCCCGGGCCGGAGCCCCCCGCCCCTCGCCGGAGAGGAGGAGGAAGAGGAGGCGGCGGCGGCGGCATGGAGCCGGGGGAGGGCGGCGGCGGCAGCGGCAGCGCCCGGTCTGTCTGCCTCCGCGGCGGCAGCAGTAGCAGCCGCCGCCGCCGCCGCCGCTGCATGAACCTCTGCACCGCGGCTGCTCTCCGCGCGCAGCGCACCCAGCGGCGGGCGAGCGGGCGGCCCGAGCGGCAGGCGGAGGCAGCGGCAGCGGCGGCGGCGGCGGCCGGCTCCCGCCGGCCCCGCCCCGCAGCCGGACCGCGCTGACACTCCACGGCCAGGCCGCCCGGGCCTGGCAGGGGCGCCAGGGGGCTGCCACCCCCGGGGTGGAGAGCCCCACGGACTGGGGTTGCCCCGGACGTGCTCCGCGGAAGACACTGGCTGTACGCCACGAGTTTTGTCCCTCTCCGGCTGCCGTCCGGGCCGGCGGGGTGGGGGTGGGGGGGCTGGTGCGTGAGGGCGGTGGTGTTTAAAGGGCCGCCAGCGCCCGGGTGGGACCCTGCACGTGGGGTCGGGGTGGGTGGTGGGGGATGTTCGCGGGTGGCCTGGGCTGGTGGGGGTGGGGGATGGGGAGTGGGGGCCACGAGGGCGCGGCTCCGTCCAGAGTCGAGTGGGAAGAGCAGTCCAGCAGGGGTTACAATAATAGTGTGTGTTTGCCTTAGATGGGTCGCTCACAGTAGAGCTTGGTAGGGTAGAATTAGGTGCAACCTGCATTCCAGAAGGCTGAAGTGCAGACTCCAGCAAGGGTCCTAACATGCAGTGAATTTACCTCTTTCCTTAAATGGCTCTGCACTGGGAGCATTTCTTTCCCTCACCGTGTATAGTGAGAACACCTAAGGAACCCCTCCATACCCTAACACGAAAATCACCGAAATGCCAGGTTGCTGGGTGAGGCACGATCTTGCCTTTTACTCATTACCTGCCTTCATTTTTTTCCCCCAATCTTTGGAAAGAGCTCTTATTAGAAAAACACACATTGGAGAGCAGCAATAAACTTGGCCTTCTTTTAAAAACCCTGTAGCCTGAATATCTTTGCATCTTGACACAGGCCTAGTGTAGCCATTCAGCTGGATTAGAATGTTTAGCTACTCTCTGGAGGTTATCCAAAACCTGCTAGATACAAGAGGGAACTTGAGAACGTTTTGGAACCCAGCAGGATTAGATAGTAACTGCTTAATCAGACAAAGTTGCCAAATCCATCTATAGTAACTCATCTAGAAAGCCTGGTCTCTCAGGGATCCATTTTTATCTTATCCAGAGTGTTGCAGAGTGACTGGTACATAATGACGCCCCAGCAGTTGTCACTGAATGAATGAATGAATGAATGATGGAAGGAAGAGCAGCCTAGTACTGTTGTCCAGTGGGAACTGCTGCCATACATATTGATTGGATGCTGTGTATATACAGTAAGGCTACTGACAGGTGTCGGTAATTGTGGCTGAATGTTCCAAATAGAAAGAATATTTAGCAGATGCGTTTACTGGGGCATTTTCTTGCATTTATAGTTCAAAGCCAGCAGCTGTGTTTTAGCTATGCCTTCCATGATCGTTGAATATTTGCTAGATCTGCCTGGTACCCAAGTGTGAAATACTCTTCTCCAGGAGGCTACTAGAGTTAGTCTTTAGCTAGAAGAGATGTGATGAATAATTTAGAAATTGGTTGCAGTCTAAAATCACTCTTCATCCTTGTTTTAACTTTTCTGACACCTCAGTTCACTTTATAGTTAGCAAAAAAGGCAAATTTCCTCTTTGATGACATGCCTCTCATTTTATCAAGTAGCCACAGACCAGGTCCTTTCCTTCCTGACTGCTAAGTAGCAGGGTTTCAAAGTTAAAGAAAAGCACATGGACCACCCGAGAAGATAAATCTGTTAACAAGTTGTTACAATCACTGGTGACACAGGCTTTAGTAGGGATGGGTATCCAGTCTACTGTCATGGAAGACCAGACAGGAGAGCCACTGAGAGTTATATATGGGTCCTGAAGGACTGTTAGAGTCTTGCCAAGAAGACAATGGTGAAAGTGTGAGATAATATGAAAGTTTGGCAAGTACAAAAATGCATTGAGGTACCAAAGAATTCAGGATACTCAGAGGCAGAGCAATTCATAGGCAAAACACTTCTCAAAATATTTCTCTGTGGAGTAGGGCACTGATGGTTCACCCCTGTAACCCTAGCTAATCAGCTGAGAATTGAGAACTGCAGTTCAATGTCTCCCCACCCGCCAGCAGAAAAATCAGTGAGACAATTTTATCTCTGATTAATTAGCAAATGGAAGTGGAGATGTGGCTTAAGTGGTAGAGAGCAAGTTTTGAGCAAAAAAGCTAAGAACTCAGGCTCAGAGTTCAAGTCCTAGTAGCTGCAACTTATGCATGCATGTGTGTGCGTGTGCGACATATACTATGCTATGTGTGGACCAGAGATATCAAATCACTGTGCAAGAACCAGTTATTGATAAGAATAGACCTTGTTCTTCACAGAATGCCAGTGGAAGCAATACTATACTATACATGTTACAATGGAAGCAATGTGGAGAATAGGAAAGGCAAGATTTCAGAATCTTGTGATGACAGATGATTTTGTCTTAAATATGGTAGTGCAGTGGGGCTGCAGATGCCTAGCTGTATTTGTGAGCTTTTAGGAGGTAAATTTGATTTGCTTAGTGACTGGATATCCAAGGAAGATCTGGTCCAATTTTCATTGATCAAAAAAATATATAGATGTATGGACAAAAGGAGACAAAAGAAATGAGTTGAGGTTTGGGCAAATCATGTTAAGTTTGAGGTTTCTGAAGGGTATTTGGTACAAGGGTCAGCGTTTGAGTTTCAATGCTTATTAGATTCCAGGAAAGAGACCAAAAGAAAATCATTCAGCTGGGTAATTAGGTTATCCTCTAATTTGAGTTACTTTTCAGGCAGTAGTTTGTGGATAAATACCTCCTTTGTCTTCTGGTAGCATATGGTAAGCCTTCATAAATGGAAAAGGAATGATACTCCCTCCAAGTTATAGGAAAATTATGTAAAGGAGAATAAATCTTATTTTTCAAACTTAAAATAGACCTTGTTATGTATATAGTAGAGTATCAATAAAACATAATTCACATATTATCCAGACTTGGACTCTTGACTCTTGGTGAATCTTCAAAACCATAAATATCACCATGACATATAAGTTCTACTATAAAATTCAGTGAAGTATGATTAGAAAATGAAAAGTAAGGGAAACCTTCTTTTGACTTTTAATAGATCTACAAATATGGGACCAAGGTAATTTATAAAAGTGGTTAAATAAATTTTACCATTAAAATAAACTTATTTCATTCCCTTATACATTTACATTATTAATTCCATTTTCCCCTGAAAATGAGTCTGTAAAGAAAAAGAATTAACTATAGCATGGCAATACTATGTTGATGAGCTAAGCTGTACTGGGACACAAATGCCAGGTGTTGGGTGAGATCCACCCGCCAGATACATGGTTGATGAGTGGTCTCTGGCCTTCCAGTAGTCCATTCAACTTTGTGTGTCAGCAGATTACCTCATGACATGGGCCTTCAGGTCATTCATTAGAGACTATTACTATTCCTGAATCTTTAGTCTGAATACACCGGTGCAGTTCTGCGTAAAGAAATCCTCATGCTTGAAAGAATTTTTTTTTTGTTTTAAAATTTCCTCTCTTCTTTCCTCTTCCTCTTCTCCTCTCCCTCCTCCTTTCTCTTCCCCTTCCCTTCCTACCTTTCTCCTCTTCCCTTTTCACCCCTGTCTTCACTTTCAGGGATCAAACCAAGGAACTCAAACATAGTAAACAAGCACTCTAGTTACACCCCAAGCTCTTCTAAGTTTCTCTTTCGTGCTGTTCACAGTTGTTTAGTCACACTCATCTCCCCCAGTAGGCTCTTTCTTCCTTGAGAGAATGTGCCACCATGTCCTGTTGCCCAGTTTAGTACTTGGCATGGAGTTACTGTTCAGTGAACATTTGACAGATTAAAAAGTATTGGAAATCTTTTAAAACCTTATTTCCCTTGCCTTTCCTATGAGCCTTACAAGTTGCTTTACCCATTCTGCACTGCATCTATTGCCCTGTTTTTCTCACTGTGCCTTCCTGATGGTATGGGGTGTCCTGTATTCTTGGAGCACTGTGTACGACCTCAAGGATCATCAGTTCTAGGCACCAAGAATTGGAAAACCTCCAATGGCGAGACCTTGACGATAGTCATTCCTTTGGAATAGCTTCATTGGAGTTTATTCTTGGGGCACAGCACAAATGCTCCTTTATACTTTGTGCTTTTGATGTTCTTGAGTGGGACAGAGCTCCTCAGTTCTCCAAGCATCCGCCCTCCAGCACATTCGCTAGGAGACTGGCCTCCATGCCTCCATTACAATCAGTTCCCTCAGCTGCCATGACCCTGCACTCTGTCCTCTCAGAAGAGGGTCATCTCTGACTTTATTTTTCCTACTGATTGACTCATTACTCAATTTGTCAAGTGTGCTTTTTAGAAAGTCTGGGTCAGAAGGGCCTATTTTCTTGTTGACCTTGGCAAGGATTGTCAGAAACTTCAGAACAGACTAGCAAAAATTGACGAGTTCCCTCTGACATCATTACAATTACAGATGCATTTCCATCTAACTCAGATGATCTACGCATAGGCAAGAGGTTAAATGAATCCTCAAGTTTCAAGAATGTGAAATGAAAGATGCAATTCTTTTTG